AAATTTATTTTTGACATCATAAAAATAGTAAAGACACTTCGTTCTAAGTGTCACTCTTTGAATTATCTTGTTCTTTTATCTTGCTCGTTCTTTCGTCGTGTTCTTCTGCATCATATGACTATGTTCAAATAGGTCTGTACATATATTATGGATACGGTTGATCAAGAAGGAGAAAAAAATGTATTGTGAAAGGTTTTGATGATTCTCGCGGTATAATTCCAAAAATATTAATAAAAAATTCCTCTCAACGGAAGCAATAGTCTCACGTACAATACATTTATTTTCAAACAAATATATGAAGTCTAGTCTAATGCCAAAAATAATGTGCTCATTGTTGATTCTGAATAATATTTTTCACTAATATATTCAACGAAGACTAAAGACCATTTTCACAACTGATCTTGGTTCTTCATTGTTCTATGAAGATATTTTTGGGTGGGATAACTTTTATAAAAGAAAAAACGATCATCTTGGGCATTTTTTTTGTTCACGTCGTGTTCGGCAATTGAAAGATCGACACGAATCTTTCCTTTTAAAATGGTTGTCCTTTGTTGATGTGAATTAATGTCACAGAAAGACGTTTAAATGTAATGCTTATGCAATTTTCTTTTTTTCGTTCTTGCTCTCTTTCTTATTACTTTTTATCTCGCGTTCGTTTCTCTTGGTTTGTTCTTCGTCTTCTTTCGAGTTGCTCGCTCTACTCACGTATCTCCGCTGCTACTCATCATCAGTACTTCTCTCACTATCTTCTTCTTCTCCTTCTTTTACTCTTGGTTTATTCTTTCTTTTTCATTTATTTACTCTCTATATATCCTCATGTGCAGAAGTTGGTACTCAGTATAGCATATTGTTGGCACAAATTGTAACGCTTTGCTTTAATGATGCACCATTTCGCTTATACATCTATAATTCTCTCTTTTATTATGTAAGCACTTCCGAGTGTTACAGTCACAAGCATAATAAAAAAAAAAATATTTTTCACTAGGTCCACAATTACTGATATCTTCTTTTAATATGATTATTAAATAGGATCAAAAATAATTTTAGTTGAAACGATCACAATTAGTGTTATTTGTTTTCATCTTTCGATCTTCATTATTATTGTACGATATCAGATTTTAATGAAACAACATCATGAGCTTGGCTGAAGACATAACTTTAAGGGTGTGGGTGTGGGTGGGTGTGTGGGTGTGGGTGTGGGGTGTGGGTGTGGGTGTGCGTGTGGGTATGGGTGGGTGTGGGGTGTGAGGTGTGGGTGTGGCTATGCGGGGATGGGT